CCCGCCGGGCCCTTGTCGATCACCTTCAGGTTGAGGATGACGCGGCTGCGCTTGGGCTCGCGGGGCTTCACCTTGCGGTTGATGATGCGCACGGTCTCCGAGAAGGGCGAGATGGGCGGGCGCAGGCCCGGGCTGCCCCCCTGCGGGTCCGGGCGCGGCAGGGGCCGGCGGGACATGCGGTGGCAGCGGCGGATGTCCTTCTTGAGCCGGTGCACAGCGGCGCTGGAGTGCAGCTTGGGCGAGGAGGCGCTGGCGCTCGGCTTGACAGAGAAATGCACATCACTGATGCGGAGGGCCTCGGCCTGGGCCCGGGCCTGCGGGCAGAGGGGCGTGGTGGGACCTCCGGGCGCCCCTGCGCCAGCCGAGCCTCGGCTTGGAGACTGTTCTGGGCGGGACCAGTGAAACGCAGGCCGCCACTCACTGAAGGAACAGGGCTGGGGGGGGGGGTGCGACCCTCGCTGGCACAGTACCGGTTCCCTGGGGACCGGGCCAGCTACAGGGCTGTCAGGGGCCTGCACCCCGAGGGCAGCCCCTGCCCAGCCTCTTCTCTGCCCAGCCTGGTACTCCTCCAGGGACTGATCCTCTGGGATGGGCTGGGGTGGGGTGGACTCCCCAGCTCTAGCCACCTACTTGCAGTGTCCTGGGCACCACCATGCCATCTTGCCCTGGCTTGACTAAACTCCAGCTCCAACCTGCCTCCCCAGAGGACCTCCATCTCTCTCCATCTCTCCCCTGGGGCCCCTCCTCCATCTCCAGCCACTGTCCTTGTCCTCCTGGGTCTGCTTCACTTGTCTGCCCAAGTTGTTGCCTAACAGATCCCAAAACCTGCACCTCGAAGCTTGGGCTAGAATTGAACCTGGTTAGGCAGGACTGGCCGGAACAAGCCTACATGTGGCATTTTCCATGCTCCACTCCCTGCCAGGATGGCCTGAGGACAGGATGACAGAGCAGAGGCCTGTGACAGCCAGAGCCCAGCTGCCATTCCAGCCCCAGGTCAGCCGCTACACCTGGGGTGTGACAGGGCACTAAGGAGACCCCAGGTTCCAGCCAACACACCCCTTCTAGACGAGGCACGGAGAGAGGGCTTGGGGCTTTGAAGGGCACACAAGCTGTCCTCCTCCATGGTGGGCAGCTGGGGCCTGCACACACGCAGCCCTCCACCAGCGGCCTGTGTTCTCATGGAGGGACAACAGGCGGGAGAAGAGTGATAGCGTAACGCAGTGCCCAGGCCAGCCCTGATAGGGAACTGGACTTGGGTCCTCACTCAGTGCCTGGTGTGCAGGCAATCCCAGAGGCCGGGTCCGCAAAGGCAGGGTCTGGGGTGGAGGCAGTGGTGGAGGACTGACTGCAGGCTAGGGGCCGAGCCTGAGGGCAAGGTGGTGACTGCCCCCATCCAGGTGGCACAGTGAGGGCAGAGAGGAAGGACACATTCCTGCAGTCAGTTAGATCCAGAAGTAGAAACTGTGTTTGGGGGCCTATCCATCTTCCATCTGCCAGCATCCAGGAGGCACCACTTCAGACAAGATGAGAATGTCTGGCCACAGCCCCCAGGTGGCTGTACCTGCTGACTGAGGATGTCTTTGGCATATGGCCCTCACAAGCCCCTGGGAGAAAAACACCTGAATGCCACCTGGTCTTTCCCACCCAGACTGGGGTGTCCTGAGGCTGCTTGTCAACAACCCCATTGGCCACTAGGTGGCAGCACACAAACCAGTGTTGCCAGCTACCATGGCAACCCAGGGACTGGGCTCCTCCTCCCTTCCCAGACTAAGGCAGGGAAAAGCTCAGGTTTTCTTTAGCCTGGCAAGCTGGGTCCTATTGCAGGTACCCGCCACGAGCGCAGGGCACGTGCTAAGCGCATGCGTGGATGCCCGTTCATGCTGCACTTATCCATGAGTGTTGGGCTCCTGAGCAATCTGCTAGCGTGTACTTCACAAACTTCCTATGAGAAACATGGTAATTCCTATTACTTCTATGATCATTAATACATATTTCTGGGCTGGGAAGGTGGCTCAGTGGTAGAGCGCTTGCCTTGCATGCATGAAGCCCTGGGTTCAATTCCTCAGCGTCACATAAGCAGAAAAAGCCAGAAGTAGTGCTGTGGCTCAAGTGGTAGAGTGCTAGCCTTGAGCTGAAGAGCTGAGGGACAGCGCCCAGGCCCAGAGCTCAGACCCCATGACTGGCAAAAAAATAAAATAAATAAATACTATTTCTCCCCAGGTTGAGAATTCCTTTGAAGGTAGGACCTGGGCCTGGTGAGTTAAAAAGTAATTGTAAGCCAAAATGTTTACTGTGCTCTTGTGGGGTGACAGGTAGGTAGTATCTAGACTGATGGGGAGTCTGTGACTGTGGAAAAGTTACTTGACCTCTCTGGTCTCTTTTTTTCAGGCTTAAGAGGGGGCTAACAGGTTCTCCCTCTCAGGCTTCCATTCCCTTCAGGCTAGTTCCTGCCAGAAAACACCAAGTGCAATTTGCTGGCCTGCCATAGGTTCTCTGAATCACAGAGCAGCAGATTTGGGCCAGGCTGTCCTTACAGCTCCTTACAAACAGCCCTGTTGCTGGGTGGCAGTGACTCACGCCTATTATCCTAGCTGAGATCTGAGAATCATGGTTTGAAGCAAGCCCAGGCAGGAAAGTCCATGAGACTCTTATTTCCAGTTAGCCACCAGAATACCAGAAGTGGCACTATGGGTCAATGTGATAGAGCACTAACCTTGAACACAAAAGCTCAGGGACAATGCCCAGGGCCTGAGTTCAAGCCCCATGACGAACAAAAAATAAACAGCTGTCACTCCTGTGCTACCTGTCCTGTGAGGTCTATATCGGGGTGCTGCCATCCAGCCCCACCTACCAACTCTGTAGCCTTCTTATTTCTTGTGTACCCATCTTCTCTCCTGATCCTGACAAATATTCCCCAGCCAGGAAGCTGGGTGGCAAGACCTCAGGCAAGTCACTTCCCCTCTCTGGATCCCTGACTGCTCCCCTCTGTGCAATGGGACTAATGAGCCTCACTTCACGGGACTGTTGAGAGACTCAAAGGAGGTTGTAACCCATGCTCTGCACTGTTGGCTCCTAGGCAGCTCAGGAACTGTAAACTGAAAAGGCCTTTTCTGAACCCAGCCATCACCCGCGTGGCCGCTAGGGGGCGCCCCAGCTGTGCCGAGAGCTGTCACACCGCCCCCCCCCCGTCCAGCCCCTCCGCCCCCCCCCCCTCCGGGCAGGCGCCAGGGTTAAGGCGGCTCGAGACCCGTTAGAGGCAGCACGGTGGGTCCAGGGGGTGGGGTGGGGCGGGGCGGGATGGGGTTGGGACGGGGGGTGCGTTATAGGAATGCGGATTTCTGGAAAACCCCCCCCCCGTTTCTGCTTCAAGACCCAAAGCAAACCCTGACACATGCTCCGTCCTTCCTCGGGGCCACCCCACCCCGCACTGGGCTGGGAGCCTTCGGGAGGAACGGACGCTTGGAGGTTCTGCATTCTGCAGCCTCTCCTCCCTCAGAGTCCTCCCTATTCTTCTGGTGCCAAATGCCACAGAATCGCAGCTGTCCAGTGGGGAGGGGCTCTGGGCCCTCTGGCCTTTGGGGGAGACTTGAGGTGACTCGGGGCGTCACACCTGCAGCTTCGCACGGGACGGACCCCTGGGGCTGACTCCCCAGACGCTGTTCTTTTTCTCATCAAATTAAATAAATACCCCAACCCCCAAGATGGCTTCCTCTGGAAATTCTTCCCTCCCTCTGCCAAGAAAAACAGGCTATGCTTCACCACGTCTTGCAATCCTTATTAGAATCCGCAGAAATAGAGGCGGGGGAGGGGAGGGGAGGGGTAAACTGAGGCTCAGGACCCTGAAGTCGGAGGAGGCCCGGGCCTAGGTGTGTGAACACACTCAGGTTGACACGATTTTAAGATGAAATTCAAATTAGGCCTCGGAGCGAGGTGTGGTGCGCAGAATTCCTCCTGAGAGGAGCTGGGCAGCCGGGGCGCAGGTGGCCCTCGTGTCTCCCCGGGCGCCCAGCCAGGAGGTGCGCCCACTCTGCCCCTGAGTGCCTACGGCTGGGGGGGGTGAGCGGTCTCACGGGCTGGGACAGCCTCCCTGCGACCTCCTCGCGTGGCACCCCCACCTGCTTCACGGCCCCCTCGCCTGCCCCCCCCCCCGCCTCCAGAGCCGGGCCTCGTCATCAGGATGAGCGATCCCCCCTCCCAGGCCCCTCGCTGGAGCTGGCGGGGGGGGGGCTCACAACCCCACCCCTCTTGCCCGGCTGGGGCTCCCTCTGTAAGGCAGAGGCAGCGGGGTTGTCCCTCCCTTCCAGGCCCCGTGCGGCGCCGGGGCCGGGGGCCCGCGATGGGGCTTGCTGGGGCTGGGCCAGGTTACCTTCAGGAGGAAAGTTTTGGGCTTGGGTCCCCTCTTCTTGGGCCCATACAGCTCACGTTCCCGCTCCCTGCAGCGGAGAGACCCAGAGATTAGGAAGAGCGGGTCGGGGGGTCGGGGAGGGTCGGGGACCCCCATCCCGGGCCCGCTCGCGGCCCCGCGCGGGGAAGGGGGGCAGGAAGGGGGGGGACACTCACTTCTGCTCGAAGGCCGCGATGAGCCGCGCGTCCAGAATGTTCTCCTCGGGCTCCCAGGTGCTGTACCTGCCGGGTCCCCGTGCAGAGCCCAGCGTGAGACCCGGCGGCAGCGCCCCGCGCCCCCCGCCCGGGCGCCCCCCCGGGCCCCACACTCACTTGATCGCCCACCCCTTCCATTTCACCAGGTACTCGATGCGTCCCTGCGAGACAGAAAGGGAGGAGAAGAGGGGGGAAAAAAGAGGGGGTTGGGAAGGATGCGGGGACCCGGGAGGCGGCGGCGCGGGGGGTGGCCGCGGAGCCGGGCTAGCGGGACCGCTGCGATCCGAGGGCCCCCGGGGGACCTGGGCCCGGCCTCGGGGAAGCCGAGGCCCGCCCGGGCCGGAGGCTCACCTTGCGGACCCGCCGCTTGATGATGGACTCGGCCGCGAAGACCCGCTCGCCCACGGCAGACAGCTCCATCTTGTTCGGCGGCACCCACAGCCCATAATACTCCCGGCTCCCGCGGCCGGTGCTGCACCGCTCGCGCACGCGCCGCAGCGCTCAGGCCCCGGCGGGCGGGCGCGGTAGGATGTGCGCGCGCGCGCGCGCTCCAGCTGTGGGCCGTCACGTGACCCGACCGGCCAGCGCACCGTTGCCACGGACCTCCCCCTCCCTCGGGGCGGTTGCTAGGGAAAGAGCGCTGGCGGGGCGGGGGCGCGCGCTGGCTCTTAAAGGGGCCTTGCCGGGCGGCGGGAAAGCAGGGCGAGGGCCTGGCTTGCTGGATGCCTGGCTGGTGCCCAGCTGGGAGAGACGCACTGCAGCCGTACATTGCCTTCACCTTCTTGCTCCGCTCCCCGAGCGCTGCCACCCTCTCCCCTCCTTCGGATTCCCCCCCACACACGCAAGGTCGTGTCAGGTCCCGGATGGAGAAGCGCCTGGAGCCCGCGGGGCTCCGCAGTGGCTGCGCATCCTCCCCGGGAAGTTTGCAAATAGTTAAATATGATACAGCAGAAATACATTCGCGTGGCCGTGCCAAGCCTTGCGGGACTTTCCTTCAGACCCCGCCGCCCCCGTCCCCGATCCATTATTTATGTGTCCGTGGGAGTACGGTTTTGTAACCAGTTCACATGAGTTAAAACAAAAACGCCACCGCAGGCCCGGGGGTGCACAGGCCCGGGGCGCCGCGTCTCCGGCCGGGCTGCGGGCTGGGCCGGCACCTGCCCTCGCCCGGAGGCGGCGGAGGCGCGCGGGGGCCCCGCACCCCGGGGTGCGTCCCAGCGGGTCACCCGGGGGTCGCTTGGCGGAGCCACCCTCGGGTCACAGCGGCGTCTTCTCCGCTTTCCCCGGCCCGCCCTCCCCCGAGGGCTCCGCCATTGCTCCCGGGGAGGCCGGACCCCGCTTTCCGTCTGGGGAGGGGCTGGGCCCGGGTGGGGACGCGAAACCTGCCATTCCTTTTGTTTTTGAACTACGACTATAGTCTTGTTCTAAACATTAATAACGCATGCAGATCTTAGGAAGCCACGCTCGTCATCTGAATAAAACGCTTGCTCGTGTGTCTCTACCGTCTTCTCGCCCCTCCGTTCTTCAGTGCCAGACACACGCCTGTGTCAGCCCCTGACACGTTACATACATGACACATTACATAGTTAATTTTTATGTTATTCAGTTGCTGTCTCGGACATCAATGTCATGCGATTGCGACCCGGGGAGGGAGGTTCCTCTCTCCCTGCCATTGTTTATTGAGAAAGATTTGTACGTTTCTCTGCTGCAGCCCTGAGTTCTTCCAAGTTTCACAGCGACCACATCAAATGTATTACCTTAAGAGAGATCCCTGGCCTTGCCTGAAGATCTTTCCTCAGGCCTTGCCTGAGGAAAAATAGCTATTCAGTGGCTAGCTGGAGCTGAATCCTGGTATAAAGATGGAGCTGCCCACCTGGAGGAGAGGATAGGGTTGGGTGGGCAGGTGATATATGCCAATGTAGAAGCCTGCAGGTGTATGCAGCCCGGGAGGGCAGAGGGAAGGACCCAGCTTGCATAGCCACTCATTGGGCATCATGTCTATAAATCCTAGGCACTCAGGAGGCTGAGATCTGGAGGATGTCAGTTCAAAGGCAACCCAGGCAGAAACATCCTTGAGATTCCATCTCCAATTAACTAGCAAAAAGCCATACTGGTCAAGCACCAACTGAACAAGAGCAAGGGCTGTGAGTGGTTCAAATCCCCAAAGAAAAAACAACAGCAACAAAAACAAACATCAGAAATGACCCATCTTGTGTTAAACCTTCCAGAAACAAAGATGGCATTTAATGAGAAAGTTACCTACCACATCGTGTGTCTCAAGTGTTAAATAAACATGAATTAGTTTCATGTTGCTGCTATAACCAATTGCCACGAGGCCTAGTGGTTTAAGATGACACAGATTTATTATGAGTTGAAGGTCAGGAGTCCCAAATCAGTGTCGTGGAGCTGAAGTGTTGCTCCAGGAAGCCCTGGTTCCTTCTGGGGGCTCTCCAAGAGAACCTGCCTCCAGTGTCATCCATCTTCTAGAAGCTGCTATTATTCATTGGCTGGTGACTTTGTCACTCAGCTGTGGCTGCCATCACTTTGCTTTCCCTCTGGCTGGTTGACCTTCCTCCAGGGGACCCTTGTGGTTGTGTTGAGTCCAGTGAATACTGGGGACAGTGTGCACATGGTAACAACCTTAACTGAACCTGGAATTGGCCTCCTAGTGCTGAAAGGGTCCTCCAGGCGGGAGGGTCATCTCTGGCTTTTGTATGGCTGTGTTTGAAGGACTGAGGAGCCTTCACATCAGCTGGGGCTTGGGCTAGGCCTTCCTAGGGGAGGGCCTTGAGTACTGCAGGAAGTTGAACTTTATCCTAAGCTGCAGCAGCAATGGGGGTCTCCTTGGGACCGTGGTGTCAAGGAGCCTTTCCCCTCCCATTCTCTCTGCCTCTTAGTTATTTTTTTTTAACTTCAACATGGTGGCTATTTTTTTTTTTTTTGGGTCCGGTCGTGGGGCCTGAACTCTGGGCCTGGGCGCTGTCCCTCAGCTCTTCAGCTCAAGGCTAGTGCTCTACCACCTGAGCCACAGCGCCACTTCCGGATTTTTTTCTTTTTGCTTATGTGGTGCTGAGGAATCGAACCCAGGGCCTCAGGCATGCAAGGCAAGCGCTCTACCACTAAGCCACCTTCCCAGCCCATGGTGGCTATTTTTATGGCTTATAGTATTTTGAAAATGGCTAGGTCTGGGTTCACTCAAAAAAATTCGTCTTGTGTGCTGGTCCTGAGGCTTGAACTCAGGGTCTTCTCAGCCTGGGTATGCTGTTCCTGAACGATTTCACTCCAGGCTGACACTCTACCCCTGGAGCCACACCTCCACTTCCTTCCAGCCTTCTGCTGGTTCACTGGAGGAAAGAGTCTCAAGGACTTTTCTGCTGGGGCTGGCTTCGAACTGCATTCCTCTTACAGGCATAAGCCACTGGTGCTCAGCCACTCAAAGTATCTGAGGTATTTGTAGACCTCTAGAAGCCAATCCTGAGGTAATGAACCCTTGGAGAAGATCACTTCCATTTCATGAGGGAAAAAGAGTCCTCTCTCCCTCCTTCCCTCCCTCCCTTCCTTCCTCCTTCTCCCTCCCCCCCCACCACCACAAGCCATAGCTCCAATGATGGTTATTGCCACAGGGAAGGGGGGGGGGAATCTCCTTCCCTGAATGAGTGGACTCCCAGGGAGAGCGCACTGTATGTAAGCCTGTGCTGTGGAACAGATTCTTAGTGTGAGACACCTACATGGTCATGGAAAACACCAGAATGGTGTTTGACTTCTGTAATCCCAGCTATGTAAGGGGCTGTGATTGGGAGGATTGCTTTTGGAGGCCAGCCTCAACTTCAACAAGCAGATGTGATGGCACACATCTGATACTAACTATACATGTGGGGGTTAAAGAAAAGAAAGAGGCCAGGCAGATTTGAGGACAGGGATTTTGACTCCCCACCCTGGGTGGAGGAGTGACAAGCGACCTCACAGCTATTGTTACAACAACTCATCAGGAGTGGTCCCCATGGGACATGGCTCCTCTGTAAAGCTTCAGGTTTCAGGGACCAGGTCTTCCACAAGGGTACCTGTGGGATTTAGGGGTCAAACCTTTATGAGCTAACCAGTGAGTGATTTGTGGGATACATGAATGGGGACTGTTGTTGAAGGGATTGCGGGGGGGGGGTTCAGAGCCAGCAAACACACAGTGGTGTCTCCCTCCCTCCCTCCCTCACTGCCCACTGGGCTCTGGGAATGGCAAGGGGAGGAGACTCAAGGATGCTCAGTAAAGAGAGAGACAGAGAGAGGCAGAGAGGGGCAGAGAAGCAGAGAGAGGCAAAGAGAGCAGAGGCAGAGAGAGACAGAGAGAGATGGAGGCAGAGAGGGACAGAGAGGGACAGGAGAGGCAGAGAGAGGCAGCCTGGCACGTAGGTGCCATCTGAGCTTAGAGTTCTCAGCTAATCTGTGCCTCAGTTTTCCTCATTTGTAAAATGGAGAAGATCGCTTCTACCTTGTAGAACTGTCTGAGGACCACATCTCATATGACAACATCAAAAGCATCGGACAGGGCTGGAAAGGTAGCTCAGTGGTAGAGTGCTTGCCTTGCATGCATGAGGCCTTGGGTTCGATTCCTCAGCACCATATAAGCAGAAAAAGCAGAAGTGGCGCTGTGGCTCAAGTGGTAGAGCGCTTGCCTTGAGCTGAAGAGCTGAGGGACGGCGCCCAGGCCCAGGAAAAAAAAAAAAAGAAAAGAACATCAGGCACATACACATAGTAGGTCTGTTACTGGTATCGTGTGTGTGTGTGTGTGTGTGTGTGTGTGTGTGTGTGTGTGTAAGCCAGCTTATATCTCAGGAGAGAGTGATGTATACTCACACACACACACATACACACACGTATGTTGTTTAATTTTAGCAGTACTGGGGATCTGAACTGAAGGATAGGCTCTCTACAGCTCGAGTCATGCCCCACCCACCCTCCACCTCTTTTTCTTTTCTGCTCTTTTCTTTAGCTCTTTTTCAGCTAGCTCTTGCTTTTTCTACCCAGGGTGAGGCCCAGATTGCAATCCTCCTACCGATGCCTCTCTCATAGCTGGGGTTTTGCAGGCGGGAACTATCACACCTGGTTTGGTTCTTGAGATGGGGGTCTTGCTTCCTTTCTTCCCAACCTAGTCTTGAACTTTGAGCCTCCCAACCTCTGCCTCCCAAGTAGATGAGAATTCAGGTATGAACTACTATCCCTGGCTACACACACACACTTTTCTTTCACTGCAAGTCAGTTTATTAAATCCATTCTAGAAACCAAAACTGTACTTGGGAAAAATGTCAAGCGCTAACCCTTTGCGTATCAATCATCGTGCTTCAAAGATTTCCTCCAAGTGCCTCTCATTTGCATCCCACGTGAACTAATTTAATCCTACTAGAATGCCACTGTTACTCCGTCTCACTGTGGAGAGTATTGGATTTCTCTTACTCCCAACACTGAGTCCTGTTGGGACTGCCCACGTGAGGGGAGAGCAAGA